GATGTGGTTATAATTATTTTCAGATTGAATTTGCTGTATTCACTTAATTTATATATTTTTTCGCATTAATTATATTACCATATTATAACAATTATGACGAGTAATACTAATAATAATACTGATCCAAGTGAAAAATTTTCTCAATTATACGAGGTGCTTTTATATAAGAAAAAAGATATAACAGCTATTTAGAAAAAATTTGGTATTAACAATAATATAAATCAAATAGCAGTGTCGGAGAGTAAGAAAGCGAAAGAACTTGCAGATTCATATGAATTGCTGTTAGAATTGGTGAGAGATTTAATACCTATACAGATGAAACTTGGTATAGATATCAATCCCATTTTAGAAGCAGAACTTAGAAGGAATAAAGCCTCTTCAGATAAACTAATTAGATTATTTGATTTGCTTTTATGCTTAGAAGATGATATAGTGACAATTCAAAAAGAACTTAGTATTGTTGGTTATACTAATCAAGAAATGGCAGAAGAAGCCGATAAAAATACGAGAGTGTATCTCCGAAAGTTTGAAGAATTTCATAGTCCCTTAGAAGATGTTCCAAGTGTGTTAATACAGAAATTCATTGATAGTAGGGTAAAGAAAATTTGGTTTACTAGTGAGAGACTACCATTATTTCCGAATGTCTCTCTTCAACAATTGCATGAGATTTTTGTCAAAAAATCGGCTAGCAACAATCAGTGCCCATGTCTAGAATCAAAAGTAGAACAAGGAAAATTATCACAGATATATATACATCACAGCAAATAAAAATTCTTTGTTTGAAATTAGCTGGGGGCTGCCAAATATCCGATTACCCGCTTAATTCTATAGCCGGAATAACGCGCTTCCTGTAATAATATTTAATGATATATATTATAATCGAAAAAATAACTTGGTAAATAATTACTCATTCTCCACTACTAAATAAAATTATTTGTAATCCACGATGTACATTTTCAGATATTCTAGCATTGACGAGAATAAAATACATACACAAGTTTTCGAAGCAAAGAAGCATGATTAGTAATTGTATAGATCTATAATATCAGATATCTTAGTATTTTTTTCTCTAGTTGTTGGAGCAATTGGTCTGTTATTCATCACACCATAATGTTCGACTGATGAAGCATGACCTATTTTATGCCTATATGCCAATTGTCGTAAATATTGATGGCAGGAATCATTCCTACCTCCATGTACTCTGGAAGTGTGATCAGCCCCTATTTTTCTTAATATAAATGAGGTAATTCTATAGCGACTTAAGAATTGATTAAGTGATAGAACATTAGTATTTCCATCCTTATCTTTTAACAAGAAGGGAATTTATCCGGTATTGATCTCTGAATCCAGATAAGTAATTCTCTTGCTCGTATTGGATTTTTTTCCATTGAAAGGAATGGTTGAGGTTCTTCTATCTCACCTTTATTTTTTGCATACCAATACAGTACCAAGAATGGTCAGGATTATACCATGACTTGCGACTTGGTTTGTATCGGTTGATACGAAAATTTTCCACATCTGCCGATCGCATACATAGCATTATCATTACATCTATTAGATTTTGCATTAAAGGAGGCTTGGTAGTATTACATTCGCTAAGTTTTTCCTGAACCTTTTCCAGGTAAAAGAACTCAGAACAATCATAACCATTAATTCCACGAAGTATATGCTTTCTTGCTTGAATCTGATTTGCTTCTTCAGTAATAAAGGTATTTTCATTGCCTCAATGATGAGATAATCACCTCCTAAGCTATGCAATTTTTTCTGTAATAAATTAAGCCGAGAATTTCCTGCAACAGTAGTGGGAGCAGAAGAAGCCAAGTTATATGCTATTCCATTTATTTCTTCAGGTGAGAGATTATTTTTTATAATATCTTGGGCAATAATTTTAATGGGATCTC